CACTTTTTCTCTAAACATGGCTCTAATAAGTGTTTTTCTGTCTCCAAGTGTGTTCAGTGTCAAGTAATAGATAGCGATCTCGTAATATTAAGCAGGTTAAATTGGCTTCCTCCTGCCAAGCCAGTTGAGTTTGTTGGAGATCTTGCATGAGACATTTGTTGCTAAGAGACAAACATTTTAAGAATCTCGTCCAGTGTTCTAGAGATTATAGAGTAACCAGCGCTCACTTTTCTATCCAGTTTTTACTTGGCAAGCTGTAATAAGTATGTAAATTATGTAAACTCTTCAGCCGACATCTTAAAAATAACCTTCGAATGGTGGGCCGTTGGGTTTCTATGAATCTGTCGTCAAGTATTGTTGGAGAGAACAGATTTTCTTCATGAAATTTAACCTTCAGTGCTACATCATTGGGACACAGCCTGCTGAAAACATGTTTGTCTTTGGTACACGTGCTTTACTCTCACAGTGTTTAGGCTTGGCAGTTGTGGTTGGGTTATATTGGATTAATGTTTTGTAATGTTGTAACTAAAGCTGGCCATACACTGGTGAGTCTCATTGTATACAAAAAGCAATTCACCCCATGGCCAGCTGCTTCTTTACCTCAATTCAGAATTTCTTTGGGTGCTACAATCCCTACAGCCAGTTAGTCAATGCTTCTACAAGTATAGGGTAGAATTTTGTTTTATTTTATTTTTTTTAATGGAAACACTTTACTTGCCTGCAGTTTTCATATGTTGATGACTTTCATAAGCAGTTTTGCATGTGTTACCTCTATTGGTTAACTGTGCATCAAGGAATAATCTGAAACTTTCTAGCTGTATTAGTTTGGGTAGAGTTGAGAATGTTAAGACCCCTGACAGTTTTTCCTTCCTGTTGGAGAGATTTTTCTTCACTTCCTATCCTGGGGACACAACATTATGAAAGAGGAAACCTCTCCAAATTGAAGGTAAACCCTCTTAGACGTTTGTCCCTGCAACATATGTCTGCAATGGAAGATTGACTCTTAGGGAGTCCTGGTGACAACTGGAACATTTTGTTTTGCTCATCACTTTGTCACCAGGACAAGTTGTGTGAGTCACCCCAGTGGGTCCACAGACAGCAAGCCAAACCTCAAAGTTGTTCTGACCCCTCACCACTACGTTCAAAACTTACAAAAGCCAAAACTGTTTTTTTTTTTTCTTTTAATACTTTAAAGTAGTGGTCTCCAAATTGCAGCCCTTTGCTTGCCTTCATCTGCCCCTTGGGGCACTTTCCTGCCACTGCTACAAGACTATTCCTCCCATGACACCAACAATGGGGCATAATTCCCGCTACTGGCATCAACAGTGCAGTACTATTCCTTTCATTGACTCCAACGAAGAGGTACTATTCTTTGAACTGACTCCAACAATGGGGGGGGCACACAATTCCTCCCACTGACACCAATGATGGGGCACTTTTCATCCTCCTGGTACATGTTAACATCTACTAGGGAAAGGATTTGTTTGCATTGTTTACTCCCACTGATGCCAGGACAATTTCTACTCCCAATGGCCACAGTCCAGCCCCACAAAGGTCTGAAGCACAGGAAACTGGCCCTTTGTTTAGAAAGTTTGGAGACCCTTGCTGTAAAGTATAAGTGGAAAGTAATCCTTTTTGTTTGTATGTGATAGAGTGGAGAGTGCGGTCTGTGTCCTGATTAGTCAACCTATTTGTCCTGTTAACAGTTATCACTAAAAGTGATAGAAAATCTCATATTTTTAATTGTCCTTAAAACGAGAATGGAGGGGAAATCTTCCAATGGGGACACTAGTTCTGGTAACAACCAGTGCTTACCTGCCCTGTGCAGGGATTTCCTTTCACAATCTCCCCAGTGGGATACAAATACAAAAAAAAAGAAAACAGACAGGTTAATAACCTTCCCTTGCTCTGTGCAAAATGAGAAGTTTATCTTTTAGTTTTACTTTAAATATACTGGGCATAAGGCCCTCCAATCCCTCTTGTATTGAACTGTATTGTTACTGTACTGTCTCCCTCCATAATGTAAAGCGCTGAGCAAACTGTCGGTGCTATATAAGTCCTGTATAATAATAATGCTGTAGGCAATTTAAACAAATAAGCTCTTAAGATTTAGCAACATAATTTAGAGTGCATGTTTTGATTGGAACATGTGTGTATTACAAATATGCTTTAATTTGGAACTCCAGGCAGCTCTTAGTAATTCACCTGTAAAGCCAATAGATGTTTACCCGAGTCCGGTGTTTGTTTTTGAGTGTTCCCTCTGGAAGAAAACATACATTTAGTACATAGGAAATGTGAAGCCTGTATTGACCATCATTGTACTGTAGTGTGTTCCAAGCAACATAGACATTTGTATGCAGATTTGAGTGTAGAAAACACCTGTAAGCAGATGTTATGCCACGGGGACACATTTGTGGAGTACTAGAGACTATATTTCCTGGAGATTATTATGTTATCCCTTTCTAGGAAGTGCCAAGCTATTGCAGCTCTAAGATCTAGATTCAGGCTGCCATCTAGCGTACAAAAGTGGGTACATGCCTGGGCCTGCTCGAACACCTGTTTTCAAGAGGTTTTTAAAAATGAAACTAAAAAACCCCAAAAACTTGTAAAAGAACATTGATACCAAAGCTACTCATATACCAAAAACATATAACAAATTCCTCCATCAACACAAACTGTGTGGATGAATGAGTCCCTGTTGCTGGGCTATTGTATTCTGACAGCCAATAGTGCCAGCTGTGGTTTCACCAAAGTGGAAATGTGTTGGCTGGTAGGGTGCTACAGGTAGCATTGGATGCTGGCTCTGATGGAGCCAGAAGCTGTTCCTGTAGAGTGAAGATGCAAGCCATGAGCAGTGGGAGAATATTAATGTCCTCCTTTTGCATGCCAGTTTCTTGCAATGCCTGAGTGCTACATCTTGATAGGAGGTCCCATGTTCCCCCCCCCCCCCCCATACCCCAAAATCACTGGATGTTTTGCAGCGGCTCTGACAAAGCTTACTGAGAAATGGTGGGGGGAATCTGTACTTTAACCCTTTCGCTGCCTGACTCTGTGCTCCACTTTTAAACTCAGATGGCCAGACTATATTTGCAATGTTTCCTTTGCTTTTATGTTTTTCCCTTACAGTGTTCAGTTTGTAAAAGACCCTCAAGCCATACATTTTCTGAAAGCACATGACCTGTAGAATAAAAAAAGGTTCTACTGATTTTTTAAAGCCCCTCGATATATGCCAAATGTTTATGAAAACATTTTTGCTAAAAATACACTAAAATCATTATTAGCAGATACAAACATAGCAAATTTTGCAAAATTGCTGCTGAATTTCTACAAAATATTAAAGCTTAACCTGTGTTGTTAATAAATAACAAATATTTTGTACATTTTAAATTGAAACTTTCTGCAAAATGGTGATGTTAACAGAACGACTTTTATTTTTTATCAATGAATACAATGACTACTACAGTGATTCTCTAGTTCTATAGCAGTCACACAGGTGTGGAATATGCATACTGACATTGGTCCTAGCAGAACCAATGTAACTATGCAATAAAATCCATACCTGGAATTCAGCTCTAAATATTCTATATACAGGTGAAACTTGAAAAATTAGAATATCGTGCAAAAATTCATTTATTTCGGTAATGCAACTTAAAAGGTGAAACTAATATATAAGATACTCATTACATGCAAAGCAAGATAGTTCAAGCCATGATTTGTCATAATTGTGATTATGGCTTACAGCTCATGAAAGCCCCAAATCCACAATCTCAGAAAATTAGAATATTGTGAAAAGGTGCAATATTCTCGGCTCAAAGTGTCCCACTCTAATCAGCTAATTAAGCCATAACACCTGCAAAGGGTTCCTGAGCCTTTAAATGGTCTCTCAGTCATGTTCAGTAGGAATCACAATCATGGGAAAGACTGCTGACCTGACAGTTGTGCAGAAAACCATCATTGACACCCTCCATAAGGAGGGAAAGCCTCACAAGGTAATTGCAAAAGAAGTTGGATGTTCCCAAAGTGCTGTAGCAAAGCACATTAATAGAAAGTTATGTGGAAGGGAAAAGTGTGGAAGAAAAAGGTGCACAAGCAGCAGGGATGACTGCAGCCTGGAGAGGATTGTCAGGAAAATGCCATTCAAAAGTGTTAGGGACTCTCACAAGGAGTGGACTGAGGCTGGAGTCAGTGCATCAAGAGCCACCACACATAGTTGGATCCTGGACATGGGCTTCAAATGTTGTATTCCTCTTGTCAAGCCGCTCCTGAACAACAAGCAATGTCAGAAGCGTCTTACCTGGGCTAAAGAAAAACAGACCTGGTCTGTTGCTCAGTGGTCCAAAGTCCTCTTTTCTGATGAGAGCAACTTTTGCATCTCATTTGGAAACCAAGGACCCAGAAGAAGAATAGAGAGGCACACACTGCAAGATGCTTGAAGTCCAATGTGAAGTTTCCACAGTCTGTGTTGATTTGGGGAGCCATGTCATCTGCTGGTGTTGGTCCAGTGTGCTTCATTAAGTCCAGGGTCAACGCAGCCATCTACCAAGAGATTTTGGAGCACTTCATGCTTCCTTCCGCAGACGAGCTTTAAGGGGATGCTGACATCATTTTCCAGCAGGACTTGGCACCTGCCCACACTGCCAAAAGCACCAAAACCTGGTTCAATGGCCGTGGGATTACTATGCTTGATTGGCCAGCAAACTCGCCTGACCTGAACCCCATAGAGAATCTATGGGGCATTGCCAAGAGAAAGATGTACCTCTCTACAGCATGCTGATAGGAGACAAGCTTTTCTGCTATTGCTGCCTTCAGAAGAGAGTAGACTATAAAACATTTTTAATCCCTTTTGTTAACAATACTTAACCTGTGTTTGTTATGCTGTTACAGAGAATCAAGTAATGAATTAGATTTTCTAGCCTGGCATTTTTTTTTCACTGCAGCCCAAAACCAGGAGCAGACTGTCTGCATTATACACTAACTTTATTTTTTGTTTTTTTTCCCAGCTGTTAGAGCTTTTTGACAGTGAAGACCCTCGTGAAAGGGACTATTTAAAAACAGTCTTACACAGAATTTATGGCAAATTCCTGGGACTTAGAGCATTTATTCGAAAACAGATTAACAATATTTTTCTACGGTAAGTGTTTTCTGTTATAATATTTTTTCCCTTTCAATAATGAAATGTATGCTGCATTTGTATAGGCTGTAATTTTAATCATAGATATTTCTTTTCCTGTCTTGGTGACCACATACCCTCAGCAGGGATAGAGGCAGAATTCCTTTCCCCTTTTCCTACTTTGTAAATACGTTTCTAGCTATGTGAGATTTCCCTTCACTGTGTAGCTTTCTCTTTTAGTCAAATTTCAGCTGATGTTCCACTCTAAAGTTAGATTTGCCCATGCGCGGAAAATTAATTTAGAGGAGGCTCCACAAATAATAATTTTTTCTCATGCTCCACTAGTAGTATGATCTCCCACCAAACCTTCCAAGAAATACCTGGTACACATGAGCATAAAGGAACATGCGCTCTTCTTGCCTCTCTACAGTTCCGCTCTGTCTACCATGCCTGAGCCCCTGGTGGCATTGTGCATGACCTTTTGTGTAATGGATTGTAGGGTAGGTTAGTACACACTATTTAGAAATGTTCCCTTGCTTACTATGGATTAAGTATGGATTCTCTTTAAATCCCAACACTGGTAATATTGTATGGGGTTTCAACAAAAAATGAACAGTTTAGAAAAAAATAACAGCATTTGCATTTATTAGCATGGCAATGGATTTATGCTTGGATTTGTTCAGTAATCCATTCATAGTGTACCCCATGCTAGAGAAACATCAGCTCAGAACCATTGGCAAGTCTTCTGTGGGACTGACCACTGAAATGAGCTGTACAGTTGCTATTACTTTGAGATGGTAAAAGCAAATTGATTAAGACCTCTAGACTATTATATACTTAACCAAGAGACAACTCTTTATAGCCTCTCATTTCTTGTTTCTATACCCTTTTTTTTTTTTTTTCTGTTAATGAAAAATTGGCTCGTTAATGCATGTTCGTAATTTAGAATACAGACAGTCTCACACTCAAGTTAATTACTGCCATACTTCACTGAAGATTGTATGAAAGCCTTTAATTGTACAATATGCATGACCACCTATGAAAATGTATTATCTCTAACAGTTATGTTAAGCATGTGTTGATAAAAATTTCAATTGAAAAAAAGGTAAATTGATTAATACAGGCACTTGATTTAAATGGGGAAAAATCCAGGGGTAACCTTCATAAATGTGGATGGAAAATGTTTGTTTAGATTTTGTTGTGATTATTTATTTATTTTATTTTTTTTTTTCAGATTTGTTTATGAAACTGAACACTTTAATGGTGTAGCAGAACTGCTGGAAATATTAGGAAGGTAAGGAAATGATGGGGAAAGGTACTATATGGATGTTTATGGCCTTACTGTGTGAAGGTGTACATACTGTTTATCAGCAAAGATGTTCCTATCTCATCAGTTTTTTGCCTTTAGTTGAGGCCCTCTTTAAAGTTCATGTAACCCTAAAGCCCATACACAAGATCATCATCAATGGGCACCAAGCGTGTTCCTTGATTTTTATTTTTTTTTTTTATGATTATTTGGACCAACATTAAAAAAAAATTTTATAATAGCTTTTTTGTGCCAACTTTTAGTAGTGTTTTAGAAGCATTTAGCAGTGCTGGCATTTTATTAGCATTTTTACAGTGCATGTAGGAAAAAAAAAAGTCTAGAATCATTTTATTAGCGTCTAGGAGCGTTTTTTACTGGCAGAAAAACTCTCCCAAAAAAAACAATTATTTTTTCTGCTCCTAAACGTGAAGCTTGAAAAATGCTAGTAGCCTAAAATAGTGTGCACAGACACATAGGATAACACTATTTAGCTTCTATGAGCAGGAAAAAAAAATTCTGAGAACCACTTCTAGGAGCTTAAAAAAAACAATAGTGTGCATAGAGCCTAAAGCTGAACTTCAGGCTAAAAAAAATACCCTTGCAGTGCCCCCGTCTCTGCACGACTACGGTTAAAAATTTGTTAAAGTGAACTAATGCACTGTGAGCAGACAGGCTTTTTATTGCAGAAGAGACCTGCACTGTCTCTTCTGCAGTGGACTTACACCTACTTGCCTGTATACAGTGATCCGCAGCTTGTGCATGCTCAGCTTGCAGCAGCTGGCCCGATCCTGTGCGCTGGGATGACAAGTGCCTGCACATCCACAGGAGTGACTTCATCCCACACTGGTCAGTGAAAAGGCCCAGAAGCCCCCATGTAGGACATGTAGGAAAAGTGAGTATCTCTGCCTTTAGTTGCACTTTAACTCCAGGGCACACAGAAAAAGGCTTTAATACTTGCCTTCTCTTCACTCCCCCAGTTGCCTGTGCTTTTTTCTTTGATGCTTTGGGTTGCAGGCAAGCCCTTGATATCCTTAGTACAATGTAGACGTATTGGTCTTTCATTGTACTTGATGTGACCGCCAGAGCACTTTAGAGAAGAGGGTTTGTGAGCAAATTAATCCATCCAGTGTGGGGATGCCCCACAGCAAGGGTCTTTTTTTTTTTTTTTTTTTTTTTTTTTTTTTGCTTGGAATGCGTCTGTAATTGGCATCCTCATTTAGCCCTTCTCTTGAACTGAACATATCTGTACTGACAAGACCTTCTTCTTCTTCTTTTTTTTTTTTTTTTTTTTTTTTTATTAATGTATTATATTTGTAGTTTGAGTCTTATGGTTTCTCTTCTCTTTCAGTATTATAAATGGCTTTGCATTACCTTTGAAAGCGGAGCATAAACAGTTTCTTGTGAAAGTGCTGATTCCTCTGCACACGGTCAGGAGCTTATCTCTCTTCCACGCACAGGTGAACTTCCTTATTGACTCTATGAAACTGTGAAGCTACCCTGCATTGCTCCCTTCCCTGTCTGTTCCAGTATAACTTTGTTTGCTTAGCACCTACAAAGTTGTTATTTTGGTCTAGCCTAAAGCTGACCATAGATGTGGCCATTTTTTTTTTTGTTCAAACAGCAGGTTGAATGACAAAAACAGACCTGATTTCCCCATCCACACACCCCATGTGGATGTGGGAATCCTCCCTGCTGAGTCATTGTATTCTGACAGTGGGGAGACTTCCCTGCTGTCAGAATACACAGATCAGTGCTGCAGTCTATAGCCTGCAACACTGATCAAGCAACACAATACCTACAAGGTGGTTGAACAGAAGTCGATCAGTAGATCAACTTCTGTTCAACCACCGTGGCCACACTTGGATTTAGGCTAGCCATACATGCATAATTCTCTCATTCAGCCGTAGCTGACTAAATTAAATAAATCTAAAAGATTTTTCCATCCGTGCTAAACCTGTGAAACCTGCATACTTGCACCTGGAAGACTTGCCATTTGAGCCACTCACAGCTCTAATTGTGTCTTATTCAGCAGGAAACTAACAGAATTCTGTATATGACCAGTTTAAGTTTTCCCAGTAATGCAATATAAGTTATTGGCTACAGCTAAAGAACCGGTTGGCTTGTAGATTGTACTGGACCGATTGTAGCTTTCGTATGGACTATTGCAGGGCTTAAAATTTCAAGTCCTGAGCTACTAGCCAGGCCTTAGAGTTACTCGCCACCAACAAACACACACACACACACACAGAAACACATGTACAGGCATGTACAGACACGCATACACACAGATACATGTACATACACAGAAATACACATGCACAGACACATGTACGTACATATATATACATATACGCAGACACATGTACAAAGTTGCAGTACTTCGTTGTTCACTCACAGATCCGGGTACTGCACTCTAGGGGGAGGCAGAGAGCACAGCACACACTCCTTGCTTTGCTTTCACTGCGCTCCGCTATTGAGAAGTCTGACAGCTCCCAGTGCCAATGACAGATCCGGCCTGAGCTCCGAGCCTGCTCAGCAAGACGGCCCTGGGGGACACACTCACCCCCAACATAATTTCCACTCGCCAATGGCGAGCAGGCGAGTAGAAATTTCAAGCCCTGGACTATTGTATTTACCTCTCTTTTGGTTTTGAACTGTTCGATTATATTACACTGTGTTGAAATGGTTCTATTTCATGTGTTGACACTGTAAAAAAGAAAAAAAAAATTTTTTTTTCCTCCTCTGTACACACGTATCAAATGTCACACATTGAAATAAAGAATACATAAAAAAAAGAACCAGTTGGGGCACATGCACAGTAGAATGCATGTGGGAAGGCCAAAATAAACTTCCAGTTATGAATATATTTCAGGGTCATCAAACAGGACTTGGTTAGATGTCCTTGGAAAGCAGCCATGACTAGGTAAAACAGCATGTTCCCTGCCATCATGGCACAGAGAAGGACCCTTGCTCTTTGTGTGAAAGCCTCTTTGCAGATGTCTGTAGCACAAGGTTCTGTGCTTTGCCCCGTGACATGACTTCCTGAAGCAGGGCACCCTCTTGTATCACATGTCACAGGGGCTGAATGGCAGGGAGTGTTATCGTCTGTGACATAACCATAGATGGCATCGCAACCATAGATGTGGCTGCTGAGGGGGGACATTGCTGCAGTGAATTCACTACTTTCCCTGCAGTATTGCCATCTGTCTGGAGGAGGACCTGAGGGCTTGCAGGATCACCAGGTATTTTTTGAAAGAAGAAATAAGATTTGGCAAGTGCACTTTTGTACTTGTATATGTATTTTTCCTAGGAATAGACGAGGTATAACATTTTGTATACAATTGTGTTTTATTAGCGGACTAATTGTTTTCCCTTATTGCCAGTAATTTTTCTTTCAAAACGTATTCATAAACCATTGCTTTTTTTCTCTTATTTTTGTAGCTGGCATACTGCATAGTACAATTTCTGGAAAAAGACCCCACACTCACAGAACCAGTAAGTACTGCTGACGTTTGTGCATTACAGTATATACCTTGCTCCATGTTCACCGAAAGGAACAGCACCACTGATTCATGAACATTTGTAATATACCCATGTGTGTATGAGTCTACGGTGCTGTGAGCTGTGTCCCTCAGTGAACATCAGAAAAAAGGATTTGAGTACACCTAAAAAAAATAGTTTTTGCTTTAAACTTTTTTTTTTCTCACTTTTTAGGTTATTAGAGGATTGATGAAATTTTGGCCAAAAACATGTAGTCAAAAAGAGGTAATGAATTTTAAAGCTTTTTTTTTTCCAAACAGATGGTCACACTATCTTTGTTTATATATATTTATTTATTTCGTTTAGGAATTGGTCTAATGAAAAGGTTCACATGGATTTCAGTATTGTCTCACAATAGTTAAGTTTTAGGAGCAGCTAGAACATTGATGACTGTTTCACAGTTACCTTACCTTGTAGAAATGTGTGTTGGTGCGCTGCGGTGCTATTTATTCTGAATAGCACCTAAAAGCACTGGTTTTGCAGCACACCGCAATGCACTGTAAAACATCCCTGTGTGTTGTGGTGGACTGCGTTACTTGAAATAACACATGTGCCTTTTCTGGTGCGTTAGACAGCACTTTGAAATTAATAGGCTGGCTTAATTTAATGTGCAACTTAATGGGCATGTGTGAGACACAAGGTGCAGATGTAAATGGGCCCCAACACATCTCTACATCATAAGTGTTACTGTGTGGCAATGCAACAGTTTTTTTTTTTTTTTTTTTTGCACAAAATGTAGTCTGCTAGGAATGAATTCATATAATTTATGGCCTTAGATGTGTTTTAATGTGGGATGTCAGCTTTTAACCTCTTCCACGCCGCTGTATAGCCGATATACTGCTACATGGCAGCACCTGCGCACAAAATTGCGTGTATGCATATGAATTTGCATTTCTGGGTAGGGGGCGCGCACGAGCCCTGCCCGTGCCGCCATTCTCGGCTGTGGATGTTAGTTACCGGGTCCCAGATGGTAATTACCAGCTGGCGCCCGGTGATACCAACAATCACCAATTGTTTACAAACAGTCTTCCTCCCTATCAGCTCGAGCACACTGGTCGGGATCGCTGTACACAGCACAGCCATCCCGATTAGTGTGCTTACAGTAAAGCACACCCCCTGCCCCCCTAGTAAAACACTCCCAGCACATAGTTAACCCTTTGATTGCCCCTCATATTAACCCCTTCCTGCCCAATGCCATTAGTAGTGTCAGTGCTTTTTTTTTGTTTTGTTTTTTTGTTGTTTTTTTTTGTTTTTTAGCACTGATCACTGTATTGGTGTCACTGGGGATGTCAGTGATACCAAATTAATTCCCCCCCAGTGTCAGAATGTCTGCCGCAGTCCTGCTAAAAGTCGCTTATCGCTGCCACTACTAGTAGAAAAAAAACAAACAATCCCAGTATCTATACCGCCATTTGTAAACACTATAACTTTCACGTAAACCAATTAATTTACACGTATTGGGATTTTTTTTTTTTTAGCAGACATGTAGCAGAATACATTTTGGCCTAAATTGATGATGAAATTTGTTTTGTAAATTTTTTTACTGGACATGTTTAATAGCAAAAAGTCCAAAATATTGTTTTTTTTCTCATAATTGTCGATCTTGTTTTGCTTATAGCGCAAAAAATAAAAACCGCACAGGCGATCAAATACAACCGAAAGAAAGCTCAATTCATGGGGAAAAAAAAAGGTTGTAAATTTCATTTGGGTGCAGGGTTGCATGACCGCACAGTTGTCAGTTAAAGTAACACAGCGCCGTAACACAAAAAATGGCCTGGTCAGGAAGGAGTGTAAATCTTCAGGAGGGCAAGTGGTTAAAGAAGACCTGGCTTGGAAAAAAAAAAGTTCAAAGGCTTTCATTACATAGCTACCTATCTGAAATTGCTTGTTGTCTGACTCTGACATTTCTAATCTATCAAGCAGTATTAAACCCAAAAGCAAACCTTTATTATATAGCAGCTTACCAGTTCTTGTACATGATGGCTGCATTAGTTATCTTTTTTTAGGCGTCCTTTCCATTATTTTCACCTGGTGATCTGGCCAGTAAGTCTCCTGTTTTTTAAAAGAACAAGCTGTTCTGCAAATGTTGCAGTTACAGGGTTGAGACAAACCATTTACCACTGACAGAGGTGCTTAAAATGATCAGAATATATTCATTTATGTAAAACCCTTTATCCAGGGAAAAAAAAAAAAAACCCTGTTTGCTGTAACTGCTATTTGTTAATGTATATAAATCAGCTAGTGCATCTGACATTCCCCTCCCCCCAGATTTAACTGTGCTGCTGTCCAAAGGTGGTGGCCCTGTGCTAGTTTCCCATCATTGGTGTCAGTGGGAAGAATAGTGTCCTATCATTGGTGTCAGTAAGAGGAATAGTTGCCCATCAGTGGGAGGAATAGTGCCCCATTACTGGTGTCAGTGGGGAGGAATAGTGTCCCATCATTGGTGTCATTGGGAGAAATAGTGTCCCATCATTGGTGTCAGTAGGAGGAATAGTGGCCTGTTGTTGGTTTCAGTGGGAGGAATAGTACCCCATTATTGGTGTCAGCGGGGAGGAATAGTGCCATCATTGGTGTTATTGGGAGAGAAATAGCAGCCTATCATTGGTGTCAGTGGGAAGAATAGCGGACCATCATTGATGTCAGTGGGAGGAATAGTGGCCTGTCGTTGGTTTCAGTGGGAGGAATAGTGCCCCATCATTGGTTTCATTGGGAGAAATAGCAGCCTATCATTGGTGTCAGTGGGAGGAATAGCAGACCATCATTGGTGTCAGTGGGAGGAATAGCGGACAATCATTGGGTTCAGTGAGAGTCCTTCGTATTGGTGGGAGTAATGGTGCCCCAAGGGCTCGATAAAGGCGAGCAAAAGGCAACATCTGGCTCCTGGATCGCAATTTGGAGACCACTGATCTAAAGAACCGTGCAATATAGCAGTGTGGGAACTATTCTCTGCATTATTTTCCTGTGATCCCAGCGTGGCTTTATGCTGTACCTCTTGTGGCCTTCTCCTTAATACCCTAGAATTTTCACAGGAAGTGGGCTGAATAATGCTTGGCATATCTGAGTGTTAGATTCAAACATGTTATACTTGCCTGCTGTGTGCAGTAGTTTTGCACACGGCAGCCTGGATCTTCCTCTTCTCCGATTCCCGTAGGCTCTCCTGTCCTCTCCCTCCTGTCAGGTGCCCCCACAGCAGGTAGCTTGCTATGGGGGCACCCACTGCTCCATGTGTCCATTCACAAACAGTCTCGGCCAATGAGAAGAGGGAGTCCTGGGATAGCCAAGACTCCAGTGCACATTACTGGATCGAAAGGGGCTTAGGGTAAGTATTAGGGTGGGGGTTGGGGAGGGATGCGGCACACAGAAGGTCTTTTACCTTCATTGCATAGAATGCATAAAGGTAAAAAACCTTAAACCTTTAGAACCACTTTATTAACCCATGGTGGTTTATGTTGAGCGGTAATAAACGTTAAACATGGAACTGATTTGTTTCATTCAAACACAGGAGAAAATGATCAGAGAAGCATAAACAATTGTTATACTTCCAGATCCGTGTCTAAATGTCCATGCATTTAGACACATTGAGTTTCTAATCTTCCCCTGGAAAAATGAAGTTCTATTTTTTTTTTTTTTTTTAACCACTTCCAGACCGGACACTTTTACCCCCTTCCTGACCAGGGCAATTTTCAGCTTTCAGCGCTATCACACTTTGAATGACAATTGCGCAGTCATGCAACACTGTACCCAAATTAATTTTTTACCATTTTTTTGAGACAGATAAAGCTTTATTTTGGTGGTATTTATTCACTGCTGGGATTTTTATTTTTTTTTGCTATGTAAATGAAAAGTCCAAAAATTTTGAACAAAAGTTTTTTTTATAAAATTTTGCAAATAAATAATATTTCATCATAAATCTTTGCCAAAATGTATTCCGTTATCTTTTTAGTAAAAAAAACAAAAACAAATTAGTTTATAACCAAAAATTATAATTTTTAAACATTTTATTTTACATTTTTATTTTATTTTTTTTATATTATTATTTATTTATTATTTTTTACATACTGTCACCCTAGCAGTACAGTGTCACCATGGAGACACTGTACTACTTTTGGGGGGGTGATAAAGATTTTTTTTTTTTTTTTTACACTGATTGTTTTTACAACCATATAGGATGTAAAAGCAATCATTTCTCTTTCTCTCTGTCTGCATTCTTGCAGCCATTGAGAACTACTGAGTGAGCTGTGATTGGTCACAGCTTGTCACATGGTACAAGGCTGTTGTGAATAGCCTTGTACCATGTGACCTCTGTGATCATTCACAGATTTCACACGTAGTAAGCAATGATGTCACAAGTGACATCTTGCTTACTACTTTGCATGTGATCACAGATTGGCCAATCAGTGATCACATGATCGGGACCTCGTACAGAGGTCCCGTCAGACGATCGGTGTTTCACTGTGTCCGGAGGACACAGCGGGCACCGGATCGCGGTGCTGCGCGCTCCCAGGGTGCGCGCACAAGCAGGGTGCGGGGAGGCCGTTCATAAACGGCCACCCAACCCTGTACTGCCCGCGTCCGGCCGTTTATATGCAACGGCCGGTCGGGAAGTGGTTAAACACAGCACACAGTGTGATTTATAACAGTGTTTTTTTCAACTTTGTTTCAGCAAAGGCACCCTTTAAAATTAGGCAGAATTTTGAGGCACACCAGTCAAAAATGTGAACATTTTATAACGCAAACTTCAGATTTCAATAGCTTGTAATGCAAATTTCTACAAACTGCTGAGCTCTGCCTTACTGAATTGTGAACTCTGCCTTACAAACTACTGAACTCTGAGCTGTGCTTTCAGAGTTCTTTAGGTGTAAACACCAGAGTTCACATATCTGTAACAACCAGTACATAAATACAGTTCTATACAAAAAAATCCATACACACAATTCAATGTCCAAGCTAAAGGTGTTAAAAATGTGTAACAGAGCAACTTTATTATGTCAAGATCTCCAAAAAATAATGTGCTAAGGCAAAAACTGTACCAGATGAAAAGCAATTGTGCTCTACTACTCATGCCCTCAATTAGCCTTGTACCTCCAAGAGCTCAGAGGAGCTGATATACAGCCTGATGACCAGCCTTGTCCCCGGTCGTTCTCTCACATAGTGCACTGCCTCTGTACACAGCCAGGCAGCAGAGCAGCACCCTGGGTTCTTAGAAAGCATCTGTGCGCAGTGGTCTCAGTAAGCTTTGTGGGTGCCCGACATGTCCTTAGCAACCAATCATGTCATCGATTGGCAAGACACGGGTGGGCAGCCCTCACAGCACACAGTGATTGTGCAGTTTTAATACCGGTTTAAAAAAAAGCACCAGACCGGCAACACAAAAAAAACAGAGATGGCAGGGGGGATTGTTTAATGTAGCTGCCTGCATGATTTCGGCTATTGTTTTCTACTTTTGCCACGGCACCCCAGTTGAGAAATGCTGATTTACACCATATAAAATCATTACATGCTATCTGTGTTTAGGAAACTGATGGAAAAACCAAGCAGAAGCCACTTGCAGAGATGCAAATTTACATTAGTTTTCAACACCGCTATAACCTCAGTTTTTTCACTGCACAGAAATGTGTAAAATAATTTCTCTGCAGGAACGCAATGAAAACAATTATTATGTATGTGCCTTGTTCACACCACAATGTTGATGTCACGTCTGTTTTTCTTTTGCGTGCAGAAAATTGCATAGACGTTGCAGATTTCTGCGCAGAAAGAATCCGCTCATGGCAGTAGTGTTGTGGTGTGATCAGGGCGCATAGAGAACAATTATTTTGTTTGTGCTGTTGCGGAATAGGTGCAGAAAAAACTCACGTCTGCACATTGTGTGCACGAGGCTTTAGAGATGTCCTATAAATACAAATAATCACATATCCCAGTGAATGAGGCCTAACTCACTAAAAACGGCAGGTGACATCAGTTTTTCTGCACGTATATTGTGAATGAGGCCTTAAGGTACTCTATTGCATGAAACTGTAGTCTTAACATTTTAAGATGGTTGTATTTTTTTTTTTTTTTTTCGTTAGGTTATGTTTCTTGGGGAGCTTGAAGAGATCTTGGATGTCATTGAACCATCACAGTTTGTTAAAATCCAGGAGCCTTTGTTTAAACAGATTTCCAAGTGTGTCTCCAGCCCTCATTTCCAGGTGAGCTTTTCTATTCACTTTTGGTAAAAGGTTTTGATTTATGTGTATGTGTATCTGGGATCATGTACTCAATCATGAAGGGTAGTCAATGTCACTTGGATTTATATATTCAAACATGTCATACTTCCCTGCTGTGTGCAGTAGTTTTGCACAGATCAGCCCCGATTCTCATCTTTTTTGGGCCCCCCACCGGCTCCTCCCCCTCGGGCAGTGCCTCCAGAGAAAGCTGCTTGCCCTGGGGGCACTGCTGTGTGCTTGCTCCCAAGCCACTTCCCTAGGTCCATAAGAGACACAAGTTTTGGCTCGGCCCTGCTTCCGTTCCAGTGAGCTCCTGCTTTTGTCTCAGCCTATGAAAAGAGAGAGTCCTCATACAGCTGAGGCTATTGTGAACATCACTGGATCGGAGGGGGCTCAGGTAAGGATTGGGTTGGAGAGGGCTCAGGTAAGGATTGGGTGGGAGGGGGGTGGCCCGTTGCACACAGAAGATTTTTTACCTTCTATGCGTGAAGGTCAAAAACCTTAAGCCTTTAGAACCACTTTTTTCAAACACATCTTGCCTTAGATAATCTTAAAAGTCACATAGTAAAGTGATAAAGAAGTTCAGTGAACAAGGCAATGAGGGTCACTTGACCCCTCTTTTAATCAAGAATTTTTATTTTGTATTTAAAATCGCTCTACTCACATCTGTCTTCGTACTTGTATGTCTGTTACCATGACTGTTTAGAAAGGATAGGTTGCAGTTGACATGCTTGGCTATTATGTACCACCTCAAGACATCACTGTGACCACAAATGTTCCACTTTCCACAACGTTTATTCTGTGTAAGAGCCATAACTGTGCACTTTAATAGAAACTTGTACTGAGAGACAAACACCAATCAGCCAAAGCTTCATGACCATTGATAGGTTACGTGAATAACATTAATTATCTTGTTACAATAGCATATGAAGTCACAGTGATACAGTATATTGGGCAGCAAGTAAACATGAGGTCCCTAAAGTTGATGTTTTGAAAAAAAGGGTATCGCAGCATGTTGTGTATGGGGCAGCGTAGCCAAAGACCTATCAAGGTGCCTATGCTGACCCTTGCTCCACAGCCAAAAGTGCCTACAATGGGCCTGTGAGCATCAGAACTGGACTACAGAGCAATGGAAGAAGGTGGTCTGAACTGATGAGTCACGGTTTCTTTTACATCATGTGGATGCCTGTGTGTGTGTGTCACCTGGGAAGAGATGGCACCAGAATGCAGTATGGGAAGAAGGCAAGCTGGTGGAGGCAGTGTGATACTTCGGGCAATGTTCTGCTGATAAGGTTTGGGTCTTGTCATTCATGTGAATGTTACTTGACACAAACCACATACACATACCTACCTGAACATTGTTGGTGACCAAGTAAAAACCCATTCATGGAAACTGTATTCCCTGATGGCAGTGGACTCTTTCAGCAAGATAATGCTGAAAGAGGCCACTGCCTCTTTCAAGAATGGTTTGAGGAACACAAGTTCAAGTTGTTGACTTGACCTCCAAATTCTCCAGATGTCAATCAATACAATTTAGCAACTGTGGGATATGCTGGAATAACAAGTCTGATCTATAGAGGCCCCACCTTGCAACTTACAGGACGTTAAATGATCCGCTACCAATGGCTTAGTGCTAGATACCACAGCATAACTTCAGAGGTCCATTTCTTCAAAGGTCAGGGCTATCTTGGCAGAAAAAGGGGGCTGTTTTGGTGGTAAAAGGGGTCCTACAAAATAATAGGTGGGTGGTTGTAGGGATATGGCTGATCTGCGTGTATATCTTTGCCACAGATTTCCACATACTTGTTGGATCAGTATAGCAATGTTACAGTTTAGCTAGTCTTGTGATTCACATTGCTTAGACAAGAGGGTGACACCTGAAACCTATTTCAGCTTTTCAACGTACTTAAATTTTAAAATATCTCTCTCTGCATCAGAAAATAGCAATGGTCACATGATGATCCTTCCCTGTTCTGTTTACTTGGGTCCTTCTTCAAGTGTCCATATCAATGCCTGTTTGATGTGCACACTTTCTATTGGTGGAGGCAACACTTCAAGTGACTGTGTTCTCTCATCATAGACCCCAGTGTCAGGAGAAATCATTTGTGGTATTGTGTATAAATGTCTGGTCCCCAGAGCAGGATATTGGCTTTTGCTCATAGAGAAAACTGTGGCTTTGACGCATTATGCTGCAGGGTGTCTTAGGAAGAGGTGTTTGGAATCAAGTCTGAGGAGTTTGTCTTTAACAGGCTGTTGGCAGAAAGAAAACCATCTTTAAATTTTCTGAGTGGCAGCTTTAGATTTCTGGTAAAGTTAATGGCAAACTGTGTGCAGACAGATCACTAGAGGGAGCCATATACATGTAAATAATTTCAATGAAGTATATTCATAGAGCGGAAACCAGATTTAAACATTTCATAAACTGTTCCCCCCATTACCGCTCAAATATACTTGTATGTGGAATGCCCTTACAATAATTTAATCATGCCCCAGTCAAAGCTTAAAAAAAACGTTTTGGCTGAGCATACATTCAAATATACCATGCATAGGGAGTTCTGCCCTCCTTGTACTAAGCTCTCGCTGAGTTTTACAAGGCAAATTTCTGTAGGCAGTCATGCTTGTGCCATTTTTTAATAATGGTTTTAGGGCTCATTTATGTGTTGTGGTAATGCACGGTAACTCACATGACTTATGGTGGGTAAAACTACTTACATTTACTATAATGATGTTTTACATATTTGCCTTGAGTTCAGCTTTAAATACACTATATACTTGTTGCTTTATACAATGAGCTTTACACTGGCTCTACACTGTACTACTGTACTCTTGTGTGATATCAATCAAGTGCCAATATTACTTGTGAGCTAATATGGTGAAATTCAATGTGTTATAAAACAATCAATAAATAAAAAAAAAAAATATATATATATGCACAAATGGTTCGCTAGCACCTAACACCAACTCATAACCAGTGCTTAATAACTCAATATAAACAAACAATAGTGCAGCGCTCCCGTGCGAATTAATAAATAATGAATTAAACCAAAAATATTAATATGAAACCATACATCTGTGACTTAAATCAATGAAATATCTATGATATCAACAATAGTATAAATTATTAATAATGGTGGCCAAATCAATATATTACCCCAATCTAATATAATAAAAAATATGCCATCAAACAGTGTCCATAAATAATAGAAAGTCCTCCTTAAATATAAAGGACTTATTCCAACAAATGGATGAATATATGATGCTCTATTATGCGCTCACCTCCTTTATAGCCTAATATGAATTTAGGCTAAAATAGCTTTTTGTCCTGCAAGGACAGATGCAAATACTCCTGTTCCCGAGCTCTTTCTCAGATTGTTCCACAATGCAAGATACTAAGATGCAAGATGTACTCTTGTGTGCTGTACATGGACTGACCTTATAGACTATGCTGTACATTATATACTGTAAGCTACTTTACTATTGATGGGAATCACCAGTGTAGCAAGTGTAACCCCTTTCAAGAACAAAAGAGAATGCATATTGCAGTGCAGAGAGATGTACGCAGCCTATAATATGCATTGCAATCAGAAGGTCAGAGAATATGCCTTGGATAATTTACCAAACATAAAACTGTAAATAATAATTTTTCTAAGTGTCTTTCTGAGTTATAAGCTTTACAGGTTATAATAAATTGTAAGCATGTACATACTACAGGTTAGAATCAATGCAGTGGCAGATTTTTATGCTAGAACACCATCGTCTGTACAGTGGAGTAGAACTAGGAACATCATGCAGTTTGGTGTATTCATCTGAGCAGGAATCTTATATACAGCATAGTTTATAAAGCCTAACACTGCAAATTATACAATGTACAGCACAATGTATATAGGAGAGCAAATTGGAGTATATAATGTACCTCGGAGGGTATGGAGAAGAACAATGTGAAGTATATAGCACCATTCACAGAGCAAAGGTATACATTGTGTAGATTCAGTGTATGAAACCATTAGTGCAGTCACCTAATAATGGAAATGCCTTCATCCTCCTGAATCCATCCTATGCCCAGGACAGGCATGCATTTGCTAGTGATCACTTAAAATGTATATTTTTTTCTCTTTTGAATAGGTGGCAGAGCGGGCTTTATACTATTGGAACAATGAATACATAATGAGTTTAATAGAGGAGAACTCGAATGTGATCCTTCCTATCATGTTTGCAAGCCTCTACAGGATTTCTAAAGAACACTGGAATCCGTAAGTGGACATTGCTGCTTCTTTACTGGTTAAAGCCACAGGTGCTACAGCAATACTGTAGTGTGGATGGTTTTCCTTAGCTTGAGGTTTGTGATCTTCTGAGTCCTGTCTAAACCTTTTCTTTCTCACACTTTAATGATGAACCACTGGGATATTACACAATGGTTGCTTTAGACAGAATTTTTTTTTTATAAATATCACTATTAAGCAGCACCTGAACTGTGGAAGCTGTGTCCAGTAAAAGCAGATAGAGAGCACTAGTCACTAGTGTTGCCTGTGGGCTCCCTGCAGCTGATTGTGTCCCCATTGCTGATTTACCTTGCTGCCTTATACTCTGTGTTAAGGGACATTAGAGAAACTGAATTTTGTGTCTTCATGTCAAAGCCCCTCCCTTGATGATTGGTGATCTGATGGCTAATAGAGAGACATTAATGCAGCAGTTGGAGAGATTCAGAAAGCACACATGTATTGAATGCATGCCGACTGGCTGAACAAAAAAACTGAGCAATATATGGCCAGCTTAAATCTTCCCAAAATGTGCTCTCTTCCCAATTTGGACAATTGTCAACAGAGCATGTCCTGTATCACCTCACTTTACTTCACCTCATCGTTACTGCTGTCTGGTCACAGCAGTTAAAAGGTTTGTGCCTACATGCATATGTTCAAAAATTGTGCAGAGCTGCACCCATGTGTACTTGTAAAGTCTTAGGCGCATTTATACCTGTGTATTGCAGCATTTGTTTGATAGTGTTCCTGTGTTGCTTGAGGTGCTATGGCAAAGCATTGTAGATATACACTTGTTGTGTTGTAATGCTAAACATCAGTTGTTACACACAAAGTATATTCATATATTAGTATCTCAGTATAATACTTAAATTCTCTGTATTCCATTTGTTCTTTAACCAGGGCTATCGTGGCTCTTGTCTACAATGTGTTAAAAGCGTTTATGGAGATGAACAGCACTTTGTTTGATGAACTGACCGCCACATACAAGTCAGATCGCCAGCGGTAACTTTTTATAACTTTTTGTTAGCACCGTTGAAAGTTTGGATTTTTCTGTGCCTTAAAGTATATCTTAACCCAAGAACAAAATGTAATATGTTGCAGCTTATCAGTCTTTAGATCTGGGGCCTGTATTAGCTTTTAATTTCTTTTTTTCAGGCAAAGTACATTTTCTGCAAGTACAAAACTATAAAATAATACCTGTTGCTCTTGTCATAAATTCAGAGCCTTTGTAACTTCCTGTGTGCTGAACTGAAATCTCAAATAATGTTAATAGCCTTCCCAGTTCAATATCAGCTAACAAAAACCCCATCATCCCCATCTTAAGGAGATGAGAAGTGGGGGGCGGAGAGAGTGTTTTGTGGTCCAAATTTAGGAGAGCAGGCTAGGGTGGAGCTGCTGTCCCTCCATAGGTGCAGTTCAGTCAATGAATGTTGACATTCTGGGATATTAACTTGTTTTTCTGGCAGAATAACGAAGTAAAAAAAAAAAAAAAAACCAAACGAAACCGAAGCCTGATAGAAGAAACTAATACAGCCACCACATCTACAGATTGTTAGGCTGCAATGTGTTGGGGTTTAGATACGTGATGTGGAGAATGTATAGCCATCGCAGTATTTTTTTTCTTATACAGTACAGGCTACAGGCAGATTCAGAGATGGCTGCCTTAGGGGGGGTGTACCTTCATATGGTTGTACACTGACAAAAAAAAAAAAATGAGGACACTCTTATAACCCCTCTTGCTCTCCCAGCAATCGTCTGTTGTTCTTTGATAGTATCTTTAGGTGCTGGATGTCTCCTCTCCAATGAGCATGATTTGTTTGTTACACTTACTAAATCCTTCAATTAATTTTCCTTGCTGTTTTAAGGCCACAATGGCATCTTCCAGATTGAAGTCCCACAGCGAGATCTTCTGAGACTGTATCCTGTCCCTGCTAGAGAATGCATGGGCCAGCCTGTAACCATACCAGGGTAACCCAGTTCCTGAAAACCTCCTCGCGAAGGGTGCATGCCTTTACAAACTGGGTGAAGCCAGGGGTGTTAAGGGTCAATCCCCTCTTTTCTGTGTGAAATAGTCCCTAGAATACAGGAGCATATGATGCCATAGGTGCCTCTCTTTTCCCAGGGTGGGTCCTCCCCACCTACAGTACATGTAGAGAGTAGGTGTCTAGGGTGACCTTCATTATTTCCACCTTCTGCCCCCGTTCTCTTTAATTACGCTAGCTGACTTTACAATACAGGTGGCTCAGGAATAGTTAACTTCCACTGCTTTAGCACTGTCAATGACAGCTCTGAGAAAACGGTCTTAATATTACCTGGCTACCAGTCAGACATTTCCATTACCCCATCTAGTGTCTCACATTCCTACTGCCTTAATAAGGAGGATTTTATGGCATCTGTGTTTGCCTGTGTCTCAGATCTTGGACCTTATACAGTCCGTGGGCCATCAGGATCGTGAACAACTCTCCTCTCTGACAGGATCTGTCTCTGATGTAATTCTGACTAGAGTTTTTTACCCAGTAAAGGATAGTATGGCGGATGAGGCGGGAGAAGAGGGGGGGAGTTAGATGCTGCTACCTCTGAATCATGTCACAAGAACCGGGATCCATTTCCATGGACCCGGAGCTCTTTCAGCTCTTGTAACTTCTGCCATCTGCTCTGAGGTAATATGTGTACAGATTGGGGTTTTCCAGTCTCCACCACTTTCTTATCTTGGGCGGGGGGGTTATTGTACCTGTTCTGTTGGGGGGGAGCGCTCTCAGGGCATTTACTCCAACTTGTTTATGATCCTGAAACTGAATTAGACATTTATCCCATGTTAGACCTCAAAGCCCTCAATAAGTGTTTGGGAATCAAAAAAGTCTGCATGGAATCCACCAGATCAGTAATTGCCTTCCTCCAAGAGAGGGATTTCCTGGCTTCACTTGACATCAAAGATGCTTATTTGCATGTCTCCCCATTTATCTTTTGCATCAATGCTTTCTGCAAGTTGTCCTGGGCAAGCAACATTTTCAATTTGTGGTGCTTCCTTTTGGTCTGTCCCTTGGGTCCTAACAAAAGTTTTTGTCCTTGTCTCTGCCCTATTTTTGTTCTCAGGGTGTTCACATTGTAGGATACCATGATGACCTTCTGTTGAGAGCTCAACCAATTTAAATTCTATCAGGGACAATCCGAGGACAGCTCAGTTCAAGCCTTCAGTTGGATGCTCAGCCTTCAAATATCTGCATCTACTCTGAATAATTTCTTGAAGTACCTAGGCCATTTCTTGGTCACTGTCTTGAGTGTTTCTTCTCCTAGCAAAAGTCATGTCACTGACATTTTAGGTAAAAATTCTACTGCCCTGTCAGTGACCCTCAGTGTGGTTTTACATGAGCGTCCTGGGTTTGATGGTGGCCTCCTTGCTCAGATTCACTCAAGACCAGTACAGCACAGCATTCTGGCTGTGTGGGACAAGCAAACCTCCTCTCTGGACCGATCCATGCGGTGGCCCGACACTCGGAAAAGTCCTTTCTCCTGCTGAATTGGGTGATGATGATGATGGATTCCTGCCTGTCAGGCTGGGGAGGAAATTCGGTCACTGCAAGAATCCTGACTTCTGATCAAAACTTTGGATCTTGGAGTAGTTTGTCTCGCCCTCCACTTGTGGATATGATTTTGCTCTGGGCAATATGTCATGGTCTGGCTCTGTCAGCCGTACACATTCTGGGTGTAGATTTGGAAGGGGACTTTCTCAGCCACCAGCAGCTAGAACAGTAGTCCATACACCCATGAGTGTTTCAAGACATTTAGGCTCCATGCACACTAGCGAGTTCTTTTTAAGCTCAACAAATGCTGGAAAAAAACGCTGGTAATAGTGGTTTTTAGCAGTGTTTTAATGGCATTTAGGAGCATTAGCAATGTACAGCGCTGAGCTAACTGTTGGCGCTTTATAAATACTGTATAATAATAATAATAGCATTTTATTAGCATTTTTACAGTGCATGTAGAGGGGGAAAAAAAGCTAGGAAAAAGCGGTTAGGAGCGTTTTAGTAGCATTTAGTGTGTTTTTTTTTCTGCTGGAAAAAAATGTATAAAAAATCAACTTGCCCCCACACATTGAAGGCTTAATTTGTCTGTTGCGACGTTTAACCTTTTGCCATTCACCAGTGCCCTGTCTTTTCATTTGTATTTTTAGTTTTTTTTCACTCTGTTGGAATTGCTCTCCCAGGTAACTGCTTTTGTGCAGGGGTAACTTATTTTGTTCCCCCTAAACTTCCCGCAGTGGCTCTGTGGAATTTAAATCTGGTGCTTTTGGAGCTACAAGCTCCTTCCTTTGAACCTATTGGGGATATATGCTTGGTTGACCTCTGCTAGGAGGATTTCAGTTTCATCAGGTTGTGGTTCACACCTCTTCAGTAAAAGATAAGGTTTCTCCCTTTTCTATGAAGGCTCGTTCTACTAGACCCATTAGTCCATCCTGAGCATTTAAACCTCAAACTTCTGTGTTGCACATTTTTAAGGGTGCCACCTGGACTTTGGTTTACACTTTTACTAGGGTGGATGTTCAGGCCTCGGCTGTTTGATTGGAGTCTGGACCCTTTTTTGGTGGTTGTTGGGGATCTGGTTAGTTGGTTGCTTTACCCTCCCGTCATTAGTATTGCTCTGAGACGTGCTAGTCGTCTCTGAATCTGCCTGTGTCCTGCACTGTATGAACAAGAAAATTGGATTTTTGACTTACCAGTAAAATCTATTTCTTAGTGTACAGTACAGGACAGCCTCCCCTCTGTGGTCTTTCTCTGTTGCTTGTTAATGCACTAAGGATTCCTTGGAGCAGGAGGGGTTAAATGGAGGTCTTGTTTTGTTTGTTTTTTTGGGGGTTTTTTTTCCTTTCAATCACCTTAAAAAAGAAGTATGAGGTAACCTAAAGAAAAAAAATTTATACTCAACTAGGTGGATGCAGCATTGCTCTGATGCTCTATCTGTCTCCCACCAGCTTTAAAACTGAAACTCCACAAATACCACTGATTGGTCAGTTCTCAGCCTTCAGTAAGCACTGATCTAGTGACTGCTTGTCATTGGCTCTCTGCTCCTCCAGCACTCACTGGACTGCTAGGCTGCAGAGGGGGTGGAAGCAGCTGCCTTAGTCTCCTAGCGGCTTGCTGAAAGGCTGACCCAGCTGCTGGTTCAGGCATCTGGGTGGATTCCAAATGTAAAGTCAGGATCTTTCCTGAGCCTGGACCAGCTGAGTGACATCAGTCGGCAACATTAGCCTGATGGATGAAAACCAGTCACAGGACTGCCAAGCAAACTGCACTCCTGTGATCCATAGGAGAAGCATAGCCAAAAAAAAAAACACTTTGGCCATACTTCTCCTTTAAGGTATGCGACTATAATAACCCAGTCATCTCTGAATCTGCTTACCCTCCTGTACTGTGTTCCAAAAAATTGACTTTACAGGCAACTCAAAAATCCCATTTTTTTTTTCTTAGGGTAAACATGTAAATAAGATCAGATTGATGTAAATGTTATCAATGTGTGTGTGTTTTTAAAACCTTGTTTATAACTATAATTTGTATGGTTTATGCATGTGGCACCTCTATTTGCTTATGATATATGCTGGCTGTACTTCTGCTGTGCAGTGCTACACAGTGGTTGTACTTCACTGCTCCTTCTTGCAGTGCTTTTCTGAGTCCAAAAACTAAATTGTAATAACATTTCTGTTATCTCAGCCGCAGCTTAAAATGAACCTGAACTCAAAAGTGAAGACTTGTCATCCTATAGGGTACATCTAGAAATGTTGACTGTACCAAAGCAGCCTTGAATGTCTTCTAAAGAATAGCAGAACACTTCCTGACGTAGCTTTGCCTAGGCGCTTACCTTTTTGTAGCCTGATAGCTATATATCTGCAGTGTGAGATCATCAGGGGAATTGCTGCCTCTGGTAGCTAGTCTTGTGAGATTTGATGTTATTGCTGTGCTGCTCACTGTTTTTCTAAACATTGCTAGAGGAGAAGTTATACCTGAAGACCTG